TGCAGTAGAAGATTATGCAGTTTATGAGAATACTAATCATGTTTGTACCCTAACTGAAGAGGACTGATGATTAACAGCACAAACAACAGCCAACACCATAGACATCTCAATTGGTTCAGCTTACACAATTCTGACTGAAAAATTGAGCAAAGTGTCCATTTCATGGGTGTCAAAACTGTTGCACCAGATCAGCTGCAAACAAGAGCAGAGCTTTCAATGAAAATTTTAAACAAGTGGGACCAAGATTCTGACATATTTCTTCAAGGAATTTTAACTAGAGATGAAATATGGCTCTACCAGTACACTCCTGAAGACAAAGCACAATCAAAGCAATGAATGCTAAGAGGTGGAAGTGGTCCAGTCAAGGCAAAAGTGGACTGGTCAAGAGCAAAAGCATGGCATCAGTTGTTTTGGATACTCAAGGAATTTTGCATTTTGGCTTTTTGGAGTGCTAAAGAACAATTACATATGCTTATAATGATAGTGTTTTGTGAAAGTTAGCCAAAGTTTTAGCAGAAAAAACATCTGGAAAAGCTTTACCAAAGTCCTTCTGTACCACCATAATGCTCCTGCTCATTCTTTTCATCAAACAAGGACAATTTTGTGAAAGTTTTGATGGGAATTCATTAGGCATCCACCTCACAGTCCTGATGTGGCTCCTTCTTACTTATTTTTGTATCCTTATCTTAAAAAGTCTGAAAGGGCACCCGTTTTCCTTAAGTAAATGATGTAAAAAAGACTGCGTCAACATGGTTAAATTCCCAGGACCCTCAGTTCTTCAGGGATAGACTAAATGGCTGGTATTAGTGCTTACCAAACTGTTTTGGACTTGGAGCTCATTTTGAGAAGTGAAATTTGTAATTTTTATTTTTATCGTTTTTCTTTTTATAGAGACAAAGTTTCTATTTGTTGCCCAAGCTGATCTCAAACTCCTGGCCTCAGTGATCCTCTTGCGTATTTGTATCTTTTAATCTATTTTTTCCCATGAACTTTTTGAAGTCCCCTTGTAGTCTTATAATTATTTTCCTCTTTCCTGAATATGCAGTATATCTTTTTTTATGCCTAATTGTGTCTATCTTTGCTGTATCCATTTTACTTTATCAGACTCATGAGGAATTTTTGAATGCATTTGTTTTCAAAGAACCAGCTTATTTAATTATGCACACTTTCTATTCTTTTTGTTTGTTCTCTCTTTCACTGATTTGGGCCAGTAGATCATTTTTTAAAATCCATGTGTCCCAGTATATTTTGTTAATTTTTAATTTTTAAGATGAAATATTAGTTCCTTTTCTGTTTTTCTTATTTAATAATACATTTATTTAGTGGCAAACATTTCATTCTGGATTCAGCTTTCTTTTTTTTTTTTTTTTTTTTCTTAAAATGCCTTTTCAGACTTTTGATTTTTTTTTTTTTGAGACAGAGTCTCACTCTGTTACTTTGTTTTTTTTTTGTTTTTTCTTATCTTTTTATTGCATTTTAGGTTTTGGGGTACATGTGCAGAGCATGCAATACAGTTGAAATGACCTATAAGTTTTGGTATGCAGTCTTCTTTTCACTGCTTCCAAAATAGTTTGTAACTTACCTTTGGTTTTCCCCTAATTTTTATTGTGTTATGATCTGAGAAGGTAGTCACTAGTATTTCTACTTTTCAAAACATGTTATTTTTTTAAAATGTTCTTTGTGAGCATATACATGGTATATGTAAATATTCTAAGGACATACAAAAAAAGAATATTGTCTGTAAGAGAGAAATGTAAGATTTTATAAGATTCTAAATGTAGCTATTAAAGCAAGGTAATTTATTATGCAGTTCCCCGAGAATTGATCAATTCTAAGAGAAATATATTTATGTTTTCCACTAAATATGTATCTATATTATGCATTTCTCAAAATCCTGACCTCAGGTAATCCACCTGCTTTGGCTTCCCAAAGTGCTGGGATTACAGGCTTGAGCCACCACACCTGGCTTATATTATGCATTTTTAATGTTTTTGCTTTACATAATTGACCAGCATGATGTTTGGTGTATAGAATTTAAAAATTATACATTTTTCAGGCCAGGCATGGTAGCTTATGCCTGTAATGTCAACACTTTAGGAGGTTGAGGCAGGAGGATTGATTGAGGCCAGGAGTTCAAGACCAGCCTGGTCAATATAGCAAGATCCTGTCTCCAAAATAAATAAATAAATAAATAAAATAAAAATTAAAAATTAGCCAGGCATGGTGTCGCATGCCTGTAGTCTTAGCTACTTGGGAGGCTGGGGCAGGGGAATCACTAGTCCAAGAGTTCGAGGTTGCAATGAGCTAGGATGATGCCAGTGCACTCCAGCATGGGTGACAGAGTGAGACCCTGTCTCTAATAAAATAAAGAAATAAAATAAACACAATAATATTAAACCTTTTTCATATATGGTGCCTTTTATTTTTTATTTTATTCATTGTTTTTGAGATAGAGTCTTCCTCTGTCACCCAGGCTGCAGTGCAGTGGCACGATCTCTGCTAACTGCAACCTCTGTCACCCAGGCTGGAGTGCAGTGGCACGATCTCTGCCTCCTGGGTTTAAACAATTCTCCTGCCTCAGCATCCTGAGTAGCTGAGATTAAAAGCGCCTGCCACAATGCCTGGCTAATTTTTTTACTTTTAGTAGTGATGGGATTTCACCATGTTGGCCAGGCTGGTCTCAAACTCCTGACCTCAAGTGATCTGCCTGTCTTGGCCTCCCAAAGTGCTGGGATTATAGGTATGAGCCACGATGCCTGACCAAATTGTGCCTTTTAAAAATCACATAATGTCAATCTTTATCCTGTTCAGTGCTTTTGAGTTTAAATTCCACTTACTCTTATATTATTGGTGCCATTTCTGCTTTCTTTTGGTTTGCATTTGCTTGTGATATTTTGGCTATTTTGCTAACTTTATCATTTTAATCTTTTGAACAGCTTTTATCTTTGCATTTTTTTTTTTTTTTTTTTTTTTTGAGACAGAATCTTGCTCTGTCACCCAGGCTGGAGTACAGTGGCACAATCTCAACTCACTGCAACCTCCACCTCCTGGGTTCAAGTGTTTCTCCTGCCTCAGCCTCCCAAGAACCTGGGATTACAGTTGCCCACCACCATGCATGGCTAATTTTTTTGTATTTTTTAGTAGAGACGGGGTTTTACCATGTTGGCCAGGCTGGTATTGAACTCCTGACCTCAGGTGATCCACCCGCCTCAACCTCCCAAAGTGCTTGGATTACAGGTGTGAGCTGCTGCACCTGGCCTAAGGTAGTTTTTTATAACCATGTGAGAACAGACTAATACACCCAGTATATTCTTATTCATTTACATATAACTATGCACATACATGGCAGGGTGTATTTTTGCTCATTCTGTTTTTTCTCTCTTCTCACTGTTTTGAGGTGCTTGTACAGACTGTTGTATTTTCTTTAATATCTTTCTCAGATGAGTCATATGAGTGATCTATCCTCTGAATTACTGCACATTCTCAAAGACCATTTTTTTCTTTGACAGATTAATTATATCTGTCAACCTAAAAATCATGAGATCTATAAATCTAGAAAGAACTTTACTTCTGGACTAGGGCTGCAGCCTGTAGGCTGGGAAGCAGAGCCTCTAGCTAAAACCAAAATCAGGCACTTTGAGGAAGGTAGGGTGGGACTGGAGTTTTATGCTAAATGGGTTGGCTAAACACATATTTAACAGGCTAAGGAGAAACTATAAACACTCATGAATGGGAGTTACAAGCATGCACGGTAAGCAAACATACATATTACATATGTCCATGTTCACTCTGGGGTGGAGACTTAACATTAAAATGCAGTAAATTGGGCTCTAGACATCAAAATGTGAAACTTAGGACACAGAGGTGCTGTGTCAGTAGCCTCTACAAACTGGCCAGAAAGAGTCCATAGTCAGTGGTTAATTATCAAGAAGGAAAACTTTGCTGAAGTTGCTTACCAGTTTCAGGAGTTTTTGGGCTGAGACGATGGGGTCTTGTAGATATACTATCATGTCATCTGCAAACAGAGACAATTTGGCTTCCTCCTTTCCTATTTGAATACCCTTTATTTCTTTTTCTTGCCTGATTGCTCTGGCTAGAACTTCCAGTACTATATTGAATAGGAGTGGTGAGAGAGGGCATCCTTGTCTAGTGCCAGTTTTCAAAGGGAATGCTTCCAGTTTTTGCCCATTCAGTATGATATTGGCTGTTGGTTTGTCATAAATAGCTTTTATTATTTTGAGATACGTTCCATCAATACTGAGTTTATTGAGGATTTTTAGCATAAAGGGCTGTTGAATTTTGTGGAATGCCTTCTCTGCGTCAATTGATATAATCATGTGGTTTTTGTTTTTGGTTTTGTTTATGTGGTGAATTATGTTTATAGACTTGCGTATGTTGAACCAGCCTTGCATCCCCGGGATGAATCCTACTTGATCATGGTGGGTAAGCTTTTTGATGTGCTGTTGCAATCGGCTTGCCAGTATTTTATTGAAGATTTTTGCATCTATGTTCATCATGGATATTGGCCTGAAGTTTTCTTTTCTTGTTGAGTCTCTGCCGGGTTTTGGTATCAGGATGATGTTGGTCTCATAAAATGATTTGGGAAGGATCCCTCTTTTTGGATTATTTGGAATAGTTTCAGAAGGAATGGTACCAGCTCCTCTTTGTGTGTCTGGTAGAATGCGGCTGTGAACCCATCTGGACCTGGGCCTTTTTTGTATGGTAGGCTCTTAATTGCTCCCTCAACTTCAGACCTAGTTATTGGTCTATTCATAGTTTCGACTTCCTCCTGGTTTAGGCTTGGGAGGACACAAGTGTCCAGGAATTTATCCATTTCTTCCAGGTTTACTAGTTTATGTGCATAGAGTTGTTTGTAATATTCTCTGATGACAGTTTGAATTTCTGTGGAATCTGTGGTGATTTCCCCTTTATCGTTTTTTATTGCGTCTGTTTGGTTATTCTCTCTTTTCTTTTCTTTTTTTTTATAAGACATAAGCAAATAATCATATAAACATTTATTTAATATGGGTTCAAAATACATAAAGGAAAAATACATAAAGAAAAAAATGAACACTTAAATGTCAAACAGAAGAAATTAATAACAAAAACCCTTAACATTTTATTTTGGTCAACAAAAAGTCTGCACATAATTCAGCAGCAGCCCTGAATTAAATTAAACCAAAGCTGCATTGCGATGATCACCAGTGCACAGACTGCCTATCTGACTTAGCACATTAAAAGTCTAATCAAGGCTCAAACCAACATTCTTAGAAATCCAAAATATATATACAAAAAAGGCTTTCTTGCTCAGTTAAACAAGATAAATCTTAAAGTTGGGAAACTACTAAAAACAATGAAAATTGAACACTGTATTTTGCTAAGGGTATAGTGTAAATAAAAGCAACAACGCACACAAAAGACAAACCAGAAACACTAAAATGTGTTTACATGTGAAAGAATCATCATGTTGATTTATGTCAAAGGACATCATATCTGTTTATCTTAATGCTTGGCATAGTTAGGTTTTAAGGTTTTACACAAATGTTTTATTTTTATAGAAATGTTTTATTAAACAATAGGAACATACTCTACAGAATATTGCAAAATTGCTACCAAGAAAACAAGTACAAATTCTACCCTGCAATATAGGTTTCTTATCAACGTACCTTCTTTCCCCACTGGTATCAAACTGAGAAAGGTATAGGGAGAAAATAATTGAATGGTTTCTGAAAGACACACTAACCCTTTAGCCAAAAGTTCTGCTTCTGAATTATATAGAATATCTTGGGCCACAGATAATGGAATGGATTTTCAGAGAGAGTGTCAGTTTAGGGCTAAAGAAATACAGGGTGAGGCTGAAGCCCTCAACAAAAGCTCCAAAAGGACACAGAAACTGATAAGTGACATAAATATGGTGAGAGGTGAGGAAGAAACATATAGCAAGTGCTGGCTTGTTACTGCATTTGATCTCTCCCTTCTCTGATCCATTCATCTTACTCTGCCTTCTGTGTCCTTTTGCAGGGAAATTATCTTACCCTTTGTCATTTGTTCCTTTACTATTTTAACAAAAAGCTTATAAGAAAAATAATAAATTCAAGGCTATTATTAAAAGCTTGACTAAAAATAATAACAAGCCTATACTCCAATCAGTAAACTTGTCTCTTGGAATCAAATCTTCATTTATGGAAGTGGAATGTTTTCATTTGTGGAACTGGATGTCTCTTAGTAGACAGTGTTCATTTAGGTGTGATACTCTTAGAAGCAGGAATAATCACTATTAATATGTGAAGAGTAAGGACGTTCATTCTGATGGATACTGCTTTATAGACTTCACTTTGTTTATCCCTATAGTATACTGCTGCCTTACACAAGTGTGGACATGACACCCAATTCCTAATAATTTGTTCAAAATCTTCTAAAAAAAACAAGGCCAATAAAAATATAGTGAAAACCTCTTGAAAATATAATTACTACATAAATAAAGTCCAATCTGAAGTCTGATAGCTGATTTTATGTTGAGTATAAGTCTTTTAAAAAGTGTTCTTATTTAACATAAAATGTAAAAGAATATTCTGGCAACAAGTATAAATATTACATTTATTCTGAGTCCAGATACTTTCTAAACTGTAGAAGTGCAGGATGGATTTGACTTATACATTAGCAACACAGACTCATGAAAAGTCATGCTGCCAAAAACATTGAGCCACCTCTGATAAATGGTCTTTAAAATGGAGAGACTGGGGAGCTTAAATGAATGTTCATGTTCACTGCAGTTAATTTTCCTTATAATTGGTAAGAGGGCTACCCATAATAGGTGGAATAGAATTCACATTTTCAAGGAATTCATAGTTTTTTCATCATCAAATAGAGTAAATGAATTAAGATTTCATTTTAAAAAATAAAGAGACATATTTATTTGTAATAACTATCTCTGTTGATAACTATCTTTAATAATCCTATTTATTTTTACTCATGAGGAATGCGTAAGTACAGACATTGTTAGCTTCTTTAACATTTATTAAAAAGATAGACTCTTTATACTAATGCAGAAAGATAAGACTCTTCTTCGCACTCTAAAAATCTCTTTAAAGAATTCTCAGTGTGTGCGAGCTAAGACTGTGGGGCACTCATTAGAGAGGTGTGTGGGATGACCAGCCAAAATCACTAGGTTTTCCCTGTTTTCAATTAGCTGAAAATATGAAATCTAGTTTTAAATATTAGAAGCAAAGTCTAAATATTGGAAAAATAAAAAGGGGATGTGACCAAATTCTTCAGAATACATGCCTGAGTGAGACATGCCTGCGTGAGACTGCGTGTATGTTTGTATGTGTCAGCTTCCAGATGCAGTCTTCAGTTTTAATCATCAGGTTCATATTGTGCCAGGCTTTTCCTCAGATCTTTGATTTGCTCATTCTTCTTGGTAAGAATCTCTTTCATGTTTCGATAAGCTGCTGTTTGCTGAAACTTCTTTTCTAATTCCTTTTCAGCCATGCGCAGCTGCTCCTGAACCCTAAGTCGTGCTTAGCTGTTGCCAGATTCTCCCCCAGTGACTTCTGGTTTTCTGTATTATCAAGTGTCTTCTGAAACTCACTCTTTAAAGCAGCGACTGTGTTTTCTAAGTTATGCAAGTCTTGGGCCTTTATAAAATCCTTTTGATTTCCTTGATCAAGTTGTAAGTCTTGCAGTGCTTTTTCTAGTTTGGACTTTTATCCAGTGCATTTGTAGCCTGTATTTCAATGGTCTTCAACCTTGACTTCAATTTCTCATTCTCTTCTTGAATTCTTAAAATTTCCTTGTTTAGGAGTCCTGCTGTTCCACTTTCATTAAGTGGAGCAAGCTTTGGTTTTGTGATATCATCAATGGGCTTTTTTTTTTTTTCTTATTTTTTTATTGCATTTTAGGTTTTGGGGTACATGTGCAGAGCATGCAATACAGTTGCATAGGTACACACATGGCAGTGTGTTCTGTTTGCTTTCACCCCTTCACCCACATTTGGCGTTTCTCCCCAGGTTATCCCTCCCCACCACCCCTTCCACTGGCCCTTCCCATTTCCCCCCAATAAACCCCAGTGTTTAGTACTCCCCTCTCTGTGTCCATGTGTTCTCATTTTTCATCACCCACCTATGAGTGAGAATATGTGGTGTTTCATTTTCTGTTCTTGTGTCAGTTTGCTGAGAATGATGTTCTCCAGATTCATCCATGTCCCTACAAACGACACGAACTCATCATTTCTGATTGCTGCATGTGGCACATATACACCATGGAATATTATACAATGGGATTTTTGTTTGAAGATGTTATCTCTGCGTTTTCAAATTCTGCACTTGTTCTAATAATTCTCGGTTTTCAAGTTCAGAGACGTCTGTCTGAAGCTTAAGATACCACTTCTCAGCTTGTGCAAACAGCTGTCGCAGAAGTAACACATTAGTATAGGCAGTGTTGATGAGCTCAGATTCCACCTCGCTATGAACCACAGCTTGCAATGCATTGAGGACTTCAGAGACTTTATCTATGGTGAAGGTCTCCTCCACCAACCTGCTCTCTTTGAGGTCTTGGAAGCAGGAATCTACAGTTTTGAGTCTCAAGCCTCTCTTTGAATGAGCAAAACGCATATAATTAACAACTTCATTTTGATGGTGCTCATTTAGGCCCAACTCTGCCATGGTGGCAGGCGGCCGGCGGCAGCCGGCAGCCTAAAGGAACCGGAGAGGCCAGGAGGTGCCCCGCCAAGGTTGGGATCGCCGAGGCTGTTTGGACCAGAGATGCGGAGGGAGGATAGGTTGTTTAGAAGCCTCTGGTTGCTAACAGAAACCGAGGCATGTCCTCTCTTTTCCTTTTTATCAATCTGGCTAGTGGTCTATTTTGTTGATCTTTTCAAAAAACCAGCTCTTGGATTTATTGATTTTTTGAAGGGTTTTTCGTGTCTCTATCTCCTTCAGTTCTGCTCTGATCTTAGTTAGTTCTTGTCTTCTGCTAGGTTTTGAGTTTTTTTGATCTTGCCCCTCTAGCTCTTTCAATTTTGATGATAGGGTATCAATTTTGGATCTCTCCACTCTTCTCATGTGGGCACTTATTGCTATACATTTTCCTCTAGAGACTGCTTTAAATGTGTCCCAGAGATTCCGGTATGTTGTGTCTTCGTTCTCGTTGGTTTCGAAGAACTTCTTTATTTCTGCCTTCATTTTATTGTTTATTCAGTCAACATTCAAGAGCCAGTTGTTCAGTTTCCATGAAGCTGTACGGTTCTGAGTTAGTTTCTGAATTCCGAGTTCTAACTTGATTGCACTATGGTCTGAGAGACTGTTTGTTATTATCTCAGTTCAGGATACAAAATCAATGTGCAAAAATCACAAGCATTCCTATAAACCAATAACAGACTGAAAGAGAGCCAAATCAAGAACGAATTGCCATTCACAATTGCTACAAAGAGAATAAAATACCTAGGAATACAACTAACAAGGAATGTAAAGGACCTCTTCAAGGAGAATTACAAACCACTGCTCAACAAAATAAGAGAGAACACAAACAGATGGAGAAGCATTCCATGTTCACGGTTAGGAAGAATCAATATCATGAAAATGGCTATACTGCCCAAAGTAATTTACAGATTCAATGCTATCCCCATCAAGCTACCAATGTACCTTCTTCACAGAACTGGAAAAAACTACCTTAAACTTCATATGGAACCAAAAGAGAGCCCACATAGCCAAGTCAATTCTACGCAAAAAGAACACAGCAGGAGGCATCACACTACTGGACTTCAAACTATACTACAAGGCTACAGTAATCAAAACAGCATGGTACTGGTACCAAAATAGAGATATAGACCAATGGAACAGAACAGAGGCATCGGAGGCAACACAACATATCTACTACCATACAGTCTTTGATAAACCTGACAAAAACAAGCAATGGGGAAAGGATTCCCTGTTTAATAAATGGTATTGGGAAAACTGGCTAGCCATGTGCAGAAAGCAGAAACTGGACCCCTTCCTGACACCTTACACTAAAATTAACTCCAGATAAATTAAAGACTTAAACATAAGACCTGGCACCATAAAAACCCTAGAAGAAAATCTAGGCAAAACCATTCAGGACATAGGAGTAGGCAAGGACTTCATGACCAAAACACCAAAAGCATTGGCAACAAAAGACAAAATAGACAAATGGGACCTAATCAAACTCCACAGCTTCTGCACGGGAAAAGAAACAGTCATTAGAGTGAATCGGCAACCAACACAATGGGAAAAAATTTTTGCAGTTTATTCATCTGACAAAGGGCTGATATCCAGAATTTACAAAGAACTCAAACAGATTTACAAGAAAAAAACAAACAAGCCCATTCAAAAATGGGCAAAGGATATGAACAGACACTTTACAAAAGAAGACATACATGAGGCCAACAAACATATGAAAAAAATGCTCATCATCACTGGTCATTAGAGAAATGCAAATCAAAACCACATGGGGATACCATCTCACGCCAGTTAGAATGGTGATCATTAAAAAATCTGGAGACAACAGATGCTGGAGAGGATGTGGAGAAATAGGAACACTTTTACACTGCTGGTGGGATTGTAATTTAGTTCAACCATTGTGGAAGACAGTGTGGCGATTCCTCAAGGACCTAGAACCACTAGAAATTCCATTTGACCCAGCAATCCCATTACTGGGTATATATCCAAAGGACTATAAATCGTTCTGCTATAAGGACACATGCACACGAATGTTCATTGCAGCACTGTTTACAATAGCAAAGACCTGGAACCAACCCAAATGCCCATCCATGATAGACTTGACTGGGAAAATGCGGCACATATACACCATGGAATATTATGCAGCAATCAAAAATGATGAGTTTATGTCCTTTATAGGGACATGGATGAATCTGGAGAACATCATTCTCAGCAAACTGACACAAGAACAGAAAATGAAATACCACATGTTCTCACTCATAGGCGGGTGATGAAAAATGAGAACACATGGATACAGAGAGGGGAGCACTACACACTAGGGTCTGTTGGGGGGAATAGGGGAGGGACAGCAAGGGGGAGCTGGGGAGGGATAGCATGGGGAGAAATGCCAGATGTGGGTGAAGGGGAGGAAGGCAGCAAATCACACTGCCATGTGTGTACCTATGCAACTATCTTGCATGTTCTGCACATGTACCCCAAAACCTAAAATGCAATTAAAAAAAAGAAGGAAAACTTTGTGAAACTGGTAACCTGACATGTTTAAACTGAAAAAGGGAGGGGAGTCTGGCCATAGTGTCAGGTTGTGGTTGAAGCTGAAGTCAGTGGAAGGGTTTTCCATTCTTTGTTTTCCAGGGCTGCTTTCTGTTTAACTCTTAAGAAAGATCTGGTACGTTAATGAACAAAAGGGTATACTGAGGTGTGACTGAATTCCTGTCTCATTATGGTCTAGAAATTGAATTTTTAGTTTTTCTGGGGTCTCCTTGGCCAACAGAGGTCCATTCAGTCAGTCAGGGGGCTTAGTATATACTTCACATATCATGGCTAGGTAGAGAGTCTTGCCTTTTCTCTAAAGATGATATTCCACTGTTTCAAGTTTCCAGCATTACAAATAAGAAGTACAATGCAAGTCTGATTCTTTTTCATTTTTGACAACCTTTTCTTTCTAACTGGTAGCAAATAATATTTGCTCTTTAAAGTTCAGGAATTTTACCTGATTGTGTATATAACATTTTTCCTCAATTTAGTCTACCTTGGATTTCTGGAAGCTTTTTTAATTCATAAAACTGGGTCTTTAGCCCTCCTCCAATGTTTCTTTTGTGTATCTAGAATGCCTATATTTTATATATTGGACCTTTCGACTTTCTCTTCCAGTTGCTTATCTTTTCTCTCCTAATTTCCATTTCACTTTTTTTTTTTTACTCTATGCCTTGAGAGAGTTCTTCTATTTTACTTTCTAGGCCACTACAGTGACCTACTTCTTTTTCAAATTACCTACCAATATATTTAATTGGGGATTAATTTGTAATACTTGAATCTCATTATGTGGTTAAAAATATATATAAATATAAATTTTCTTCTCTTTTGGCAGAGATTATTATTTTATGACTTTTTCCTGTTGGGCTTTGGTCTGGTTTTTGGAGGACCTGAATTACAAGAAGCAGTTCTCTTTTTTTGTGCTGGCAATGTAGAATGCAGGCAGGTTGTCATCTTCATTTTGACTCCATAAAATAGAGGTTTGGGAACAGTAGATGCAAATGAGAACTTAGGAGCCATACTTCCTGAGTTCAAATGCCAGCTCTTCTGTTTATTAGTGATGAAGCCTTGGGCAAATTATTCAAATTCTATATCTTAATTTCTTTATCCATCCAATGGGGGAAAATAAGATTAAAACAATTGTATGTAAGAAAATTCTTGAGAGGTTGTCATGACAATTTAAAAAGTCTACCTTTTTGAAGCACTAAGTACAGTTCAGGGCAAACATACTGGCTATTTTTAAAACTTCCTTCTGAAAATGAATGCATACATGGCAGAATACAAATTATTAAAACTGTGAGCATTCTAGCTTCCCTACTAATGGTTCTCAACTTTGGCTGCACATTTGAATCACTGAGAAGCATTTAGAAATCCTCCTACCTTATCTCAGACCAGTTCGATCAAGGCTCTAAAATTGGGGTTTCAAGGAAGTAGTAATTTTCAAAACTCCCCAGGTGATTCCACTTTGCAGCCAATGTTGAGAACCACTGCTTTAATACCTGTGCCCCGCCAAAAAATAATAATTATACTCAATGTTTGCCTGTTGATCTACTCTCGTATTAGTCATTGCTGAATTTTCCCAGACAGGTTTTTTGGCTTTGCAGAGTGCAGATCTTAAAGATCGAGAGGACTTCAGAATGTGGCTACATCTCAGATTTAAGGAGATTTGTATAAGCTGTCAGGGTTTCCCATTGCCCTAAGATAGAATCCTAAATTCTGACAAGGCAAAGCTCATCGGTCTGGTCTCTTTCTGCCTGATGCTCCCACCTCCTTGTCTCACTCCCTCTATGGCTCTCTAGGTTCCAGACAAAGGAGCCACCTTTCCCTTACTTTAACATGCCAAGCTATTTCCTGCCTCAGGGCTTTTCTGCTGGTTGTATCCTGTTCTGCCCTTGACCTGGCCATTGTCCATTACTGCACAGACATAGTCTACTGAAACTCACACAAGAAAAAACAGATAATCTAAATAGGGCTTTCTATTTTAAAAATTGATTTAGTAATTAATAACCTTCCAAACAGAAATTACCAGGCCTAGACAGTTTCATCGGTGAAGTCTACCAAAGATTTAAGGAACAAAAGATACCAGTTCTTTACCGACTGTTACAGAAAACAGAAGCAGAGGGCACACTTTCTAACTCACTACTTTATAAGGCCAGCATTTCCCTAATGCCAAATTACAAAAAAAGAAAAACTGCAGACCCATTTCTCTCATGAATGTACTTTCTGTAGGTCATGAATTCAGGAGCAGCTTAGTTGAGTGGTTCTGGCTTGAAGTCCCTCATGAGGTTGCAGTTAACATTTTGGCCAGGCTGAAAGTTTGACAGTGACTGGAGAGCATTTCACATGGTGCTGGTTGTTGGCAAGAGACCTCAGTTTAAGACCTAGCCTCAGAAGTCACACACCACTTCTGATGGGTAGGTCATGAAAAAATCCTCCAACAGCCCAACCCTCCAAATGTCGTATTACTTAACGTAAAAACTGGTGAAATACATCCAGCTCCTAGGGAAAGTGGGGCAGCAATTGTGGCACAAAGATGGCTCATAGACCATGTGTCCTCTCAAGTTCTACCAGAGGGAAGCTAAGCAGGCAACACAGTGATCTAGACATTGAGAGGACCTCCTCCTTTTTGGGATATCTCCTGTTTCTTCTCTTAAGGACTCTAAGGGCATTTGGAGATTGGGGTGGAGGTGACAATTAAGTGAGAGGAAAGGAATTTGTAAATTGGCACACAGGTTTTAGGATCTAATTCTAAATGCAGAAGACCATATACATTCCCACAGATGCCAGTGAACTTTCTGCCAGTACATAACCAAGAACCCTTTAAAAAGAATATAGAGAACAATGTGGTGATATTAGAAAGCAGAGTATATCCTGGGACCAGTAATAGTCCAGATGGCCTGAATACATGCAGCATGTGTAGGAGAGTAAATATTGAAAAGGTTAAAGAAGCATAGTGGGCCTTGTGCCTATTAGTATCCTCTATCTCATTAGGAGAAAAATGACTCCAAAAGTTTAAGAATGAGGTTTGGTTAATATAGCTTGGTGTAAAAAAATTATCCATCTTACATTTTGCATAATGAATTACACAAATACTTTATTCATATCAGATTGGGAATCATCTTTTTTCATAGAATAATAACGACAATAAATATAAAAGGAACAGAAATACCCTGAAGTTGCATGACATTTTAGTCATGTTGAATAGTATAATAATGGTAAAATGTATTGGCTGCTTAATGTCTACTAGAAACTGTACTAGGTACCTTAGGTGACTTAACATTCTTGATCCTCCCAACTACTTCATGAGGTACTATTAAAAACCTCAGTTTATGGGCTGGGTGTGGTAGCTCACATCTGTCATCCTGGCACTTTGGGAGGCAGAGATGGATGGGTCACCTGAAGTCAGGAATTCAAGATCAGCCTGACCAACATGGTGAAACCCTGTCTCTACCAAAAATACAAAAATTAGCTGGGCATGGTGGCGGGTGGCTATAATCCCTGCTACTTGGGAGGCTGAAGCAGGAGAATTCGCTTGAACCCGGGAGGCAGAGGTTGCAGTTAGCCGAGATGACGCCACTGCACTCCAACCTGGCAATGGAGTGAGACTCCGTCTCCAGAAAACAAACAAACAAACAAACAAACCCCCCAATTTATGGATGAGGAACCTGAGACACAGAGAGATTAAGTAAACAGGGTCACAAAGCTAGAGAGTGGCAGAGCTAGGATTTGAACCTAAGCATTTGAGCTCCAGAACCTGTGCTGTATTACTCTGCCACTCAAAGCTGACATGGTGTATTAGTTTTCTGTGGCTGCTGTAACAAATTATCACAAACTTAGTGGCTGAAAACAACACAAATTTATTATCTTACAATTTTGTAGGTCAGAAGTCCTAAAATCAAGGTGTCAGCTGCACTGTGATCCTTTCTGGAAGCTATAAGGAAGAACACATTTCTTGGCCTTTTCCAGCCTCTAGAACCCATGTTCCTTAGTTCATAACCTCCTTCCTCCATCTTCAAAACCAGCATCTCTCCGCCTCTTCTTCTGTTGTTGCGTCACTTTCTTTGACCATAATTAGGAAGCATTTTCTTTTGTATTTACCTATTTTATTTGAATTGTGGTAAAAAACATAAAATTTACAATCCGAACCATTATTAAGTGTACAGTGCAATAGTGTTAAGTATATTCACATTGTTGTGAAACAGATCTCTAGAACTTTTTCACCTCACAAATCTGAAATGTTGTACCCATTAAACATCTCTTTTCCCCTTTCCCTTATCTCCTGGTAACCATCATTCTGCTTTCTGTTTCTGTGAACTTTAGGTACCTCATATAATCAGAATCATACAGCATTTATCTATCTTTTTGTGACTGGCTTATTTCATTAAGCATAATGTCCTCAATCAAGTTTCATCCATCTTGTAGAATGTGACAGAATTTCCTTCCTTTTTAAGGCTGAATAATATTTCACTGTATGTATATAATACATTTTGTTTATTCATTCATCCATGGAGGGACATTTGGGTTGCTTCCATCTCTTGACTGTAGTGAATAGCAATGCCATGAGCATGGGATTGAGACCCTGCTCTCTCTTTGGGACCTTGCTTTCAATTCTTTTGGATATATATCTAGAAGTAGAATCACTGGATCATATGGTAGTTCTATTTTTAATTTTTTGAGGAGCCACTCAACTGTTTTCTATAGTGGTCATGCTGTTTCACATCCCAACACAGTGCACTAGTTTCATTTCTCCACATACTTGTCCACACTTTTTATTTTTTTTGATAGTTGTCATCCTAATGGGTGTGGGTGACATCTCTTTGTGGTTTTGATTTGCATTTCTCTATTAATTAGTGATGTTGAGTATCTTTTCATATGCTTGTTTATTAATATATCATCTTTGGAGAAACATCTATTCAAGTTCTGTAACTATATTTTAATTAGATTTTTTGATTCTTCAGTTGTTGAGTTGTAATTCTTTATATTCTAAATATTAGCTCCTTATTAGAGATGCTTTGCAATTATTTCCCCACTCTATAGGGTATTTTTTACTCTGATTGTGTTCTTTGATGCACAAAAGTTTTAAAATTTAATGTAATCTCATTTATCTATTTTTGCTTTTCTTGCCTGTGCTTTTGTTGTTATATCCAAACAACATTGCAAAGTCCAATGTCATGAAACTTTCTCCTATGTTTTCTTCTAGGAGTTTTAAAGTTTTAGATCTTATGTTAACGGCTTTTTTTTTTTTTTTTTTTTTTTTTTTTTTTTAAGACAACATCTCACTCTGTCACCCAGGCTGGAGTGTGGTGGCATGCTCTTGGCTCACTGTAACCTCTGTCTCTTGGACTCAAGTGATTGATCCTCCCACCTCAGTCTCCTGAGGAGCTGGACCCACAGGTGCATGCCATCATGCCGAGCTAATTTTTTGCACCTTTTGTACAGACAGGGTTTTGTCATATTTCCCAGGCTGGTCTCAAACTCCTGGACTCAAGCAATCCACCTTTCTTGGTCTCCCAAAATGCTAGGATTACAGGAGTGAGCCACTGCACCCAGCCAAGATCTTAGTGAATGTCTTTAACCCACTTTGAGTTAATTTTTGTGGAGTGCAAGATAAGGATCCAATTTCATTCTTTTACATGCAGTTATCCAGTATTCCAACATCATTTGTTGAAGAAATTATCCCTTGGCATTGTCTATTATTGATACCTTTGTTGGACATCATTTTACCATATGTAAAATAATTTATTTATGGGTTCTCCATTCTATTCCATTGGTCTATTTGTCTGTCTTTTTGACAGAACACACCAGTTTGATTACTGTCACATTGTAATAATTTTGAAGTATGAAAGTGTGAGTCGTCCAATTTTGTTACTCTTTTTCAAAATTGTTTTAGCTATTTAGGGTCCCTTGAGATGCCATATGAATTTTAGGATAAATTTTTCTATTTTACAACAAATGCCATTAGAATTTTTTTTTTTTGGCAGGTTCTCGATGTGTTGCACAGGTTTGAGTGTAGTGGTGCAATCATGGCTCACTGCAGCCTCAACCTCCTGGGCTCAATAGATCCTTCCAGCTTAGTCTCCTGAGTAGCTGGGACTACAGGAGCATGCCACCACACCCAGCAATTTTTGTATTTTTTATAGAAATGGTTCTTCTCCATGTTGCCAAGGTTGGTCTCAAAGTCCTAGGCTCAAGTGATCTCCCACTTTGGCCTCCCAAAGAGCTGGGATTACAGGCATGTGGCACTGTGTCTGGCCCCCAATGGAATTCTGATAGGGATTGCATTGAGTCTGCAGATTGCTTCGGGTAGTATGACCATCTTAACAATATTGCTTTCCAATCCAGGAACACAGATGCCTTTTGTTTGTATCTTCTCTCATTTCTTTCAGCAGTGTTTCATAATTTTCAGCATACAAGTGTTTTACCTCCTTGATTAGATTTATTCCTAAGTTTTTTATACTTTTCGATGCTATTGTAAATTGAATTTTTTTCTTAATTTCCTTTCCAGATTGTTTTTTGATAGTGTGCAGAAATGCAACTAATTTTTGTGTTGATTTTGTATCTTTCAACTTGCTGTCTTCATTTATTCATTGTAATAGGTTTTTTTTTTTTTTTTTGCGAAATCTCTATGGTTTTCTACATATAAGATCATGTTAACTGCCAACAGAGGTAGTTTTACTTCTTTCTTTCCAATCTGGATAATTTTATTTCTTTTTGTTGTCTAACGGCTCTGGCTAGAAATTCTAATAGTATGTTAAATAGAAGTGGCCAGAATGGGTATCCTGGCCTTGTTCCTGATTTTAGAGGAAAAGCTTTCAGTCTTTCACCATTGAGTATAATGTTAGCTGTAGACTTTGCATAAATTGCCTGGTTGTTCTATCCATTTTTTTTAAAAGTGGGGTATTAAAGTCATATCCTCTAGTATCATATATATACACTAGTGTACAGTGTATTACTATATATTAGCCGCACATCATATGTGTACACTGCTAACAAACAGGGTTTTAGGATAGAATTTAGTTTCATTGCCTAGTTTTGCTTGAGAAGTGGTATAACAGACAACAGGAAAGTGAATCCAGGGTGAGACATACATCTCTCTGTGTAGAATTTATAAAAATGGTTTAGACACAAGTCTACAAGGTGTTGCACAGCTTGTAGACTCCTTAGGCAGGTCAGAGTCATAAAATAGTATCTGAGAGGAAAAAGCTTTTGTAAGAATAGGGAAGAGTTTCTTTAGAGGGAGTGGTAGTCAGGCTGTAAATCTCGAACCTGGGGAGGAGTGAGGGGGCATTAAGCGTACCTTTGAAGAGTGTTTCCTTTAGTTGAAGAAAGAGATGACCAGTGCCTGACTCACGTCTGAGGAAATTAAAATGGGCTATTACCCTGCGGGCTGACTCATGGCCAGAGATTCCAGAAAACAAGTAAATGCCTGCCTCTCTGATGGTGAACCAGAAAGGTGCTGCCACACTGAGACCGACTAGCACTCTCAGGGGCTGTCAAAGAAAGGGATTTTTCCCACCAGCTTGTGAATGAGCTGGTGAAACCCTATCGGGAAGCTGTCTTAAATCTTGTCCAAGATCACTGTTGGAGAGGTCAGACTGCCTAGCATAAAGAGGGTAGATAGATATCCAGGAGCTGAGAAAGCAACAATGTGGTATAGTGTTAGAATACAACCCCCAATGCATCATACCTCTCTGCCACCTTTCCCCTCTGCATCTAACTTTGATAATCCTTCCATCAGGAGGTGGAATATATTTCCTTATACCTGAGTTTTACTGGCCTTGCAACTTTTATGATCAATAACTGCAGCAGAAATGACATTGTGAAATCTCAGGAAAAGAACTGGCATAGGTATTTCTTTTGAGAATATGCCCTCGACATGAGAACAATGGGTCAAAGTGTACGTGTTCAACTTTAGCAGATACTGCTAAACACTTTTACAAAGTGGTTGTACTAATGTATATTCCCTGTAGCAGTACAAGAGTTCTAGTTGAACTGTAACTCCTTCAACAATTTAGTATTTTCTACTGTTTTTCACTTTAGCTATTCTGGTAGGTGGGGTACCCAGTGTGGTTTTAACTTGCATTTCGCTGATGACTAAAGATGTTAAGCACCTTTTCAGATGTTTACTGGCCATTTGGATATCCTCTATTAGGGAGTGATGGGTTGAGTGTTTTGCTCATTTTTCTATTGAGTTGATGGGTCTTTTCTTATTAATTTTCAGGTGTTTCTTTTACATTCTGTATATGAATCCTTTGTTGGACATACATGCTGCAAATATCTTCAGCCACTCTGGAAGTAACTTTTTCACTCTTAATAGAGCCTTGCTGACCAGAAATGATTAATTTTAATATAGCCCAACTTATTTTCTTTCTGATTAGTACTTCTGGGTTCTAACACCTATAATCTCAGCACTTTGGAAGACTGAGGAGGAATGCTTGAGGCCAGGAGTTCAAGACCAGCTGGGCAACACAGTGAGACCCAGTTTCTGAACAAAATAAAAATAAATGAGTTGGGTGTGGTGGTGCACATCTGTAGTTCCAGCTACTCAGGAGGCTAAGGCAGATCACTTGAACCCAGGAATTCAGAGCTGTGGTGAGCTAGAATCACATCATCATACTCCAGCCTGGGTGACAGGGAGACCTTGTCTAAATAAATAAATAAATAAGAACTGTTCTCCCATTTGAAG